ATATTTGTTATTGTTATTGCAACGTAAACAGTTTAGCGGGTGAGTTCGGGCGAAAAGCAGGTGAGTTCGGCAAAAAGCAGGTGAGCTCGACGACAAGCTCACCTGCTCTAAACCAATCAGAAAGCCGCTTTTAACACAGGTATGGGATAAGAGTGTTAACGTCGATTCGACGTTATGCGTGGCAACATGAATATGGACGTGACCCCTAATTCAGAACTAAATGTTGTCAAGATATTAAATAATTTGTCACATTCATACTTATTTCCAGGCCAAAATTATAAACTTGTTTGCCAATAGCAGCAGTAATAGCCATTTTGCACTTCACCATTTCGCTCGCCACCCCCTGCTTGATTACATTAAAACATCAGTTCCGGTTCACTTTTTATACATTACTCTGATTCTCATACTCTAACTACTAGTTACAGTAGAACCTGTATCAATAAGCGGTCATTCAGTAAAGTCCCGAATATTTCATAACGTAGACAATATATATTGAAATGACCTTTAAACTGTCACCTCATTTTTTGGTATGTATAAAGCAAATTATCCCATAGCCGTTTCCCAGTTCTTACGAGAAGCGTTTATGCATATGGGCTAACAATGTACTTTAACAATGCGCCCTACTTTATTATTTTACTCTAGCTAGCTTTCTAACGGCAGACGATTTTACTTGTCAGCGGGAGAGTGCTGCCACTCAGTGGGTTAATCAGACTATGCGCCCTATGCGCCCTACTTTATTATTTTACTCTGTCTAACACCAGACGATTTTACTTGTCGCGGAGAGTGCTGCCACTCGTAGAAAATTATTAAGGCCCAATGTCTTTGGTGGCAAAGGGTTTTATAAAGGATAACATACTGTACTGGCCCTTCCCTAAGGGATTAGGGTCAAATTTACCTGTCTGCCGAAAAAGACATCAATATGACATCCTTTACAAAACACCCTGCCACCCTACCAAAGACGTCGGGCCTTAATAGTGCATATTGAAGCACATATTAGGTTCCGGTTTTTTGTTTTTTTTTTGTTTTTTTTATTTACGCCCATAAAAAATATCAAGTTATTTACATTTATTTTTTCTATTGTTTTGGATAGGCTAGGAGCCTTCTAGAAACCTACTAGGCTTTTTAATTAAGACCCCTATAGACTATACTTACATTGTTTCATTCTATTTAGTCAGTTCGAATAATATATTAGATTGAACAAAGATAAAAGCGTATATAA